GGTCCAGCTCACGTATGTAAATCGACAATCATATGGGGTGAGAGCATGATTCAATAAAACAAGGTTGTGTAATTTGTGACAGCTAAAATTTGACACTCCTTTATCTAGATTTGTATTTTGGAAGTAGGAGAAAGGGGAAGAATGTGATCGTCTTTTGCGAAAACGGTAGTAGAATGGTACTACAAAAATTGCGCAAAGTATACAATTAGAAGCAGTGTTGGCACTAATCGATTGGTTTTTTAATCAATTAGTTAATTTGATTAAATCCAATCAAATTACAGTTTATCATGATTTAATTTAATCTGATTAAATAGTTAATCGTAACCGTGATTAAAAAAATTAATTTTTAATCATTAACCCTTAATTTGATCAAGTAGGTTTGGTGATTAATTAATTTATTCTGGAATTGTCTTTTGCAACCAGGTCAGTTAATCGGGTATGGCTAAGTCGGTTTCCCTCATAAATCTAAGCAATTTGGTGTGCATTTTGATTGTGATCTATTACCAGCAGACGTTATGAAAACTAGGTTTTATATCTCTCTGCACATGTGGCATGGGTTGTCAAACTTCCCAGTTTATGTTATACAAATTATAATTATTATTTTTTTATATAAGTATTATGTGTTTTTCATAAGCGTCAAACAGAAAAGAATAACCGTATATGGTGTTTAAATTTAAATTGCAGACAAACTAGACCACTTAACCAGATTTTTTTTTAATCGGATTACCGATTGATGATTAAAATTAATTAATCGTAATCACAACCGACGATTAACGATTAAAAAAATTTAATCATTAATCATACAGATGATTACGATTAATTAATTTTAATTGTTAATCGCGATTAACATTTTAATCGTTAATTTTTAATCGTTAATCAGATTAACATTTTTCCAACACTGATTAGAAGTAAAATGTGTATTATTAATTCTATGCGAATTTGCAATTTATTTGGTGTTTTAATGGAAATACTGAACAATACATAAAAATATGCATTTTTGATTTAAA